ACATTTGAACATTTGAACATTTGAACATTTGAACATTTGAACATTTGAACATTTGAACATTTGAACATTTGAACATTTGAACATTACCATGTTCAAATATTCAGAATAACCGGTATAACAAAGTCTTGGCAGGAAAAGCCATGTTAAAATTAGAAAACCCGTTGTATTTTCGTCCAGCGCAAAAGCTATAAAAGCGCAGACTTTTTGCCCTAATAAACAACAACTCACTAGAGTTCGACTCAACTAGAGTCTATTATTCATCCTTTAAACCTTTGCGCATATAATTATACACATTCATTCCCATAATCCCCCAATAAATAAACTATCTCTTACAACCTCGTGACGTAGTCTTGAGCTCTATTTGGCCCTAATAACTCGGACCAAGTCTTTCCACGCCCTCTTTCGTGCCTTCCACTATTAGGGTTGATAGAGTTTAGCCGTTGTAGTGTTGATTTGGATTAGTTTAGTGCCGATTGATATCCGTGTTGACCATATTTTGAGATTCCGGATTGGTCCACACCTTTACAATGTGCATTTCCATAATGATAAAGGATCCATTCGGCTCTTGCTCGTGAATCATTAACAATATTATTCCAGCCTTTACATGTTAATGATAAGTTTTTTGGATACAATTTGAATTTAAAAATATTGAATTTTATTTCATCACCTAAAGTATTCAAAGGTGAGATACTATATGGTATCCTTAAGGCATATGCATTTCTTGCCCTCATATCCTTGAAGTAATTTCTGCTTGCTGGTGTATCAGGATCGATTAAGATTTTTACAAATTCCGAAATTCTTGTATCACCCTGTAAAATAATCTCAAGCTGATCACAAGTTTCCTGTATCGTTGGTCGACTCCATAGATTTTGTTCCCAGCATTTATTGTATAAGTCGAGGTATTTTACGGGAGTATCAATAACAGGCGTTTCGCGCATATTCTCAGACAAAATTTTGTAAATCAGATTAATTTGATCGGTATCATTCTCAAATGGAGGCTTCCCACTTGACATAGACCACATGATAACTCCAAAGGCGCAAATATCAGATGCCGATGTAAATTCTCGAGATAAATCTTTAAGGACTTCTGGAGCCAGAAATGCTATTTTTTGTAATATGAGTGATTCGTCTTTATTTAGCTCAAGAAATAATGGATTAGATATTTGTGCTTTTTCTTTATCAATAAGAATTGTTTTTGTGTGCTAATGCAGAATAAATAATGAATTTTGTGAAATGCATCAGTAAAAAAAAAAAAAAAAAAAAAAAAAAAAAAAAAAAAAAAAAATTTACCAAACTTCGATGAACTATCCCCATATTATGAATGTATCTTATCCCAAGAGCTATATCTTTTAAGATTTTTATTCGTTTATCCCAGCTTAAATTATTTTTAGAAATATAATCATGCAGAGTAGTGTCTCTGGCGTTTTCCATCATTATCAAATAGCTATTGATTTGGGGGTCTTTACAAAAAAATAAAAATACAATAACATTAATAAAATTCTGCAAAGATATTGATGAAGCTAGGGTGTCAATCAGCTCTAAAATTCGGCACATATTCATAATCCAAAACATTAATTATTTATACCGTAACGTATAAATTAATTTTATTGAAGTCGATACTCAAGAAGTTTTAAATCTAGTCGAATTCACTTTAGCTGATGCCATATTCCCAATAACTTAACTTCTGATGCTTATGTACCAGTAAACAGACCCTAGAGATTGTATGCTAAATTAGTTTTGAGGTCATTGTTTCGTTCAATATCATCAGTAAGTCATTTCTAACTTGATTCTATATTCAAATTCACAAAAGACAATATTAAGGGTATAAAACGTCTCAGAGCAGCCTTTACTGGTACATTACCGTAAAATCCTTCGATACACATGGAAGCCAACTTTCGTGGAAACGATTAACGAAAGCGCATAAATACTTTTACTAATCCCAAGGAATTGTTGCACATTCGGGTGCTCTATTTTGGTTAAATTTTGTATCTAAAAATGATATCGTACAATATAAATATCATATTGAGCTAATATAGTAGACTACTTTTATTACCGTAAAAAAACATTGAATACTCGCAAAATTCGGATCAACCGTTTATTATTTTTCTTGCAAGTTCCCGAATGTTTTTTGCAGTAATGAAAATATTCCCAGATATCAAAAGTTCACATGATGGTAAAAGACGTAGAAAGATCTTCCGTTTTACTTTTGCAAAACAATTTCAGAGTGAGGCCTTTGCACAATCATTGACGTAAAACCGTTCCTTTTAAATTCTAAGGTCTTAGAATTTTAAATTAAAAGGAACTATAGAAAATTCCTGACAATATTACATATGATCAATGCATCATCCACCCTTCTTGTTTTAATCTTGATTTGAATTATTTCACTCAAAAAATAGAGGTTGGGATGTAAACAAATGTGAGGGCCAACATGAAGTGTGGGCCATTGGCTAGTTGCTGATTATTAATATACAACTAGTCAATTGTATCAAGTTGGTTCACGCTTCATGTTGGTCTCTCATAATTGTATTTGTGATAAATGTATTACTTGTTCTTCGAACTTTTCTTTATTTTTTAGAGATTCTTTTGAAATATACTTCATCATCACCGTTGGTTTTAGATAGCCTTTCACAATAGACCCATAAAACAGATTATTCTTTAATCTCATTTTATCAATTATCATATGATTGATTACGCTCATGTCTCTACATGGTAATTGCGTAAACTTCAATCCTTTTCAAATTCGAAATTTTAGATGTTATAAGTGTTATCATATTTCGATATAAATAAGTAATTCATGATTACCTCTATTTGAACCATTGGTTACATTATCTTTTTGTCGTGTATCGTTATTAGATTCGTTTTGATTGTTTAAATATGTTATAAAAGCTTAATGGAATGAAAATGATAAATATAAATAAAGTGCTATTTTTAATTTTTATTCAAAATGTTTACCACCTTCAAGATGCTTGTCTGCGTTATCATATTTTGATATAAATGCCGACTCTCGATTATTTGAATCATTATTTGTATTATTTTTTGGATGTGAATCGTCGTTAGATTTATCTTGATTATCTATATTATCTATTTAAGATATTTATATTAGTAAGCTTATTGGAATAAAATGACAAATATAAACAAGTAATTTTCTCAATTTTTGGTTATAATGTGTTTATTACCGCCAACATGCATGTCAGCATTGTCACATTTGGATATAAATATCGACTCATCTTTATTTGGGTCACTGGTAATATTATTGTTTTGACATGTATCATCTATATATGATATTAATATTAGTAAACTTAAAATGGTATTTTTTTCAAAATGTATTTATTACTATCAAGATGTTTGTTTGGATTTATGTTTTCTGTTTTATTATTAAGAGAATTCAATGAGCCTAAATAGCTTTGCCCTAATTGTGCATCTTGTTGATTATTTATAGTAATTTTATTTGTACCAAATTTCTGTGGATTTATTTTGAGCTCTCTATAGGCTTCGATTAATGTGGAATCAATAGAGGTGGTTCGCCTCATAGATCGATCAACCACTTCTGATAATTGTGCTATTTCTTCCATCTGTTCACTAAGAGAACCATTCATATCATTCATGATCTATTCCAATAATTTTAAATGGTTTAAAGATTATTAATACATACAATGTACAAAATAGCGATAGATTGAGATAATTCTGTAATTACCTTAGTTAAGACATTAATATCTTTCATAATTTTTTTATCTTCTAACTCTTTTTTATTTCTGTCATAAATAGCCCAAGTGAAATCTAAATCTTTACATACTTCTTCAAATTCTTTAATATTTTTATCAAATTCATTATCGTCTATTAAACTTTCATTAGATTTCATTGTATTTTCTTTATTTCCAACAACTTGGGGGTTTATTTTATAATCATCAATTAAATGTGGCTTATAATCATTATTATCGTCTATTTTTTTTCTTCTTTTTTGTTTTCAGACTTAATTGTATTTACGTTAGTGTCATTCAGAATCGAAGTTTCGTTAGAAATAAGTTGGTTTAAAGTATTGAGAATTAATTTTGTTTCTGGACGATTAGCAAGGTCTTTATCCCAACATTTCTTGTAGAGTTCAATATATTGAGACGGTGTACTTTCTACAGGTTCTTCTCTGTTTCCCTGTGTAATATGACTAACAAGTGAAAATCCTAATTTAAATGATGAAAATGATGGCCTTCCGCTTGAAATTTCCCAAAGAATTACTCCAAGGCTATATATGTCAGATTTCATATTAGGTTTATACCAGCAATCAACAAGGCATTGGGGTTCAACATATGCCGCCATTCCATAAATAGCTGAGTTTGAAGTCATGGACGTCTATTTATTTGCATTGACGGTCCAAAATACGCAATCTTTGGTTGTTTTTGATGAATTAAGATGTTCTTCGAATGCTAAATTATTAAATTATTAGTGAATTAATATATATAAAAAATCAAGTAAATATTTACAGCACTTACAAGGTCTTTATGAATAATAATATTATTATGTAAGAATAAAAGCCCGAGGGCTATTTCCTTAGCAATAAATAATTTATAAGACCATTTCAATTGAGTAAAATTTATTTTTAGATATTCTTGTAGAGTTCCTTCATTAGCATATTGCAAAACCATATGATAATATCCATTGCTATCTATTTATTTACATTAGATAAATATTTTGTTTGATATAATGAATACTGCCGAACGAAAAATTATAATTCTAGATTTTCAGACTTAAAACTTCACAAAGTTTGGATTGTCAACTCCGAAATGTCCGAAAATTAAGAATTACTGTTTTCTTATGTACCTTTTGTGACTCCGTAAAATGCAATAATACTTTGATGCTCCGAAACTCTTCGTAATAGTTTAAGCTAATTGAATTATAAGAATTTAATATATAATTCATTGTATTGTAAAAAGAATCAATTAGTCTTAATTAGGGATGGGTTCGGTTACCATCAGGAAATTTTTAAATAGGGTGGATATCGATTACCAGCTGCAGAGGCGATTGCCATCGATTAGAAAAATCGATGATAATCGATATTGGTAGCTAATCGATTAAAAAAACAATCGATTTTAGTATAATTTTGATATCAATCGATTTCAATCAAAGCGATTATAATCAATTTTAATTAGCAGCTTTGTTGTCAATCGATTCTAATCAGTATCGCTGGTAATCGGCAGGGGTGCTACTTACCGATTGACATTTCTTTCTGTCAATCGATTGGCAACCAATCTAAAATTTTCCTGATGAATATGACCCAAGATTTATAATTAGATTTGTTAACATGACCAAGATTTACAATCAGATTTGTTAGTATGACCCAAGATTTATAATTAGATTTGTTAGTATTATCCAAGATTTATAATTAGATTTGTTAGTATTATCCAAGATTTATAATTAGAACATAATTCTGAATTTTGAGCAGATCGATATTAAAATTCCAAAAAAATAAAGTTACAGACCAAAATTTATATTTAAGAAAAATTTACCAACTAATTTACCAATTAATTGGGCTGGAGCGGAGGAAGATCTTATAGCCGTACACATAGAATTCCTATCGATGTCCGGTTCCCGCCCCTGTAATAATGATAAAAATTTTGCAATCTCCTGTAGAACCTTTAATCAGCAATTCGATCATTAAATTGAAAATAGAAGCAACTGATTACTAAGCTGATACTTTGAATTTTTTTATTTGAATTTTTTTTTACATTGATAAAATGCAAACATAAAAGAATTTATACGCTTAAACGAAAGGCTGCAAGAAATAAGGCTAGAAGAAGATGATTAACTTCGAAGAACAGTTAAGTTATCGAAATAATAAATCAACAAAAAGATAAGATCGGCACTAACGACAAACTCTATTAGTGAAAAAGAAAATGTAGACAAAAATAGTGAACAGACAATAATAACGAACAAATAAATAATAAAGACTATAAGTCTAAACGTAATATTTATTTACTGCAGTCCCATTATAAATTCATAAATTTCATTGAGATTTAGAGACTGGACTCGAGTCAACTCGTAGCTTAAAAAGCATAGTCTTAACTCGAATTAACTCGAGTCAAGACTATGTTTTTTAAGCTACGAGTTGACTCGAGTCCAGTCTCTATTGAGATTAGGGTTGTAAAATTACTGAAATTTTGCGTAATTTTACGTAATTTTGTGTAAGATTCTGTAAATCAATTTTTCATGTAATCGTAATTTTGAACACACGACATTTAGTTTCTGAGATCAAATTTCGGCGATTTATGAGTAACAATTCGGATTGTACATTCAAATCAAATGATGCAATAATGTTGGCCAAACTTTTTATAAATCCGGTACTTTATGTAAAATTACATGAAATTTGGGTTTCAGAAACTTACGTAAAATTACATGTAATGTAAAGTTGTAATTTATGTAACACATCCCTAATTGAGATTTTACTTTTTTAGAAAATCGAAATATTTTGTCACTACCTCGCCTGCCAGCTTTACAACGATGATCATAATCTTCAAAAAAGTTTTGTGACACAGTTTCTGCACTTAAATATAATCTCTGTCCCATTTGTAAAGAAAGTAGCCACCTTTATTACCTACACTAATTCTGTTCACAATGATCAATTATACAGTCCAACTTTAACTATGCCAAATAGCTCACAATTCGTCCAATTAAATATACTTGGAAAAGATTTGTGCCTCGCTTGGGCGATTACGGTTCATAAATCGCAAAGCTTAACATTATTACAAACCGTAATAGACATTTACAACAAGGATTTTGCTATAGATCTTACATTTGTTGCTGTACCAAAAGTTCGTGCTCTTGCCGATCTTCTTTTCAATAGTACTTTTTCTTATAATAGGTTACAAAAGTTGAGGGATAGTACACATTTATAACAGAGTTTGACTGACTTTCTTTATGACTGCATGAATGAATTATTAATGTCTTTTATTAATTTATGAATTATTATGTTTGTACACATGCGTATTAATATGAATTTATAAAATATGTTGCTTAGGCCATACAAATTATTTCTTAGTTTTTATGATATAAACTTTTAAATAGACTCGGTCGGGTTATTAATTTCTCATGATCTTATACTGATGAGTTTAGGTTTTTATTTAGGATACTACAGTCTTTTTTTTAAAAAAAAAGTTAGAACCTAACACTTAAGGCTCCAGCCCTATAAAACGCCGCCGTTTATTACTAGTATAATAATTTTCCAAGTGGTCCAAGTAATGATAGACATTGTGCCCGGATAAAGGTTTAATGAGAAATATATATAATTTATTCGAATGACCCAGTACCCGAGTGGCGTTTTTCTATGAATATAATCCCTGAGTAATGAGTACAAGTAATTTAGATAAGAAAAAAAATATTTTTTCACAATTAATATAAACCATTTTTGTAACTTTGTAATGATAGTAATTAAGAATCAAGATTTGGATAAAAAAAAAGTGCGATCCATGCATCTAAAAAAAAAAACGACTAATTTTATGAATAAAAAGTGCCTCTGCATAATTTACTGATGAACATATGAATATCTTAAAAAATGCCTGATTATTATTTAAAAAAATTGGATGAATGTATAATTACGTGCGTACGTTGTGAAAGTGTGACTAGCTACTTTGAAGCTAAAATTAACTAATAACTACACTAAACTACTTAAACTATCTAAACTACAACTCTAATAATCCAAAAATAGCGTCAAGACTTCTAGGACCTTGGATTGGTAGGCTTCGAATAGAGGCGTGGAAGGCTTGGTCCGAGTTACAAGGTCTTTTGGGTCTTGTTAGGTGTTGCCGGGGTTAATATAAGTATCCTTTGGTCTTATTGCCTCTTAGTTGTTTCTATTGTATCAATATTTCTAACACTTAATATTCTTATCTCTTCTTCTTTTAACGTACTACGGCTTTCTTGGTCACGTGCGATGTCACTTCGATAACTGCGGCTCTTCGGTGATTCAAAATTCGACTTTAATCGGTGATATCAATTTCGACGTCACGTGAAAGTATATCGGCTGAGATCGGATTTCCAATTTACTAGTACGTCACGAGGTACTTATGTCACGGGAAATGCTATTGAGGAGGTGTTCTTGTAAAGTACATAAGCAATTGTTTTTTCTCTTTCGGATCCAAGATTACTATTAGAAAGATATAACGTTATTGAGGAGGTGTTCTTGCAAAATGCATCAGCTAATGCTTTACATCCTTCGGATCCAAATTGAGATCTAACGTTGTTAAGAAGGTGTTCTTACAAAGTGCATCAGCTAATACTTTTCCCCCTTCTGACCCAAGTTTATTAGAATTATACATGGGTGCCTAAATTGCCCATCTTAATAAAAAGTAATTACGGCATTTAGACAGCTAAAATTAGTATTATATAGGCCGAAATTAATTTTCATATTTGCCGAAATTTTTGCCGAAATTTTTTAAACTCTTTTCATCAAAACACATCATATAATATAGTTATTTTGAAAGGTTTCATATAAAAATTTTGCAATGATGAAATGCTTGCCAAAAATACGATTTTTCAAAAATAATTTAGGCACCCATGTATATATTTAACATTGTTAAGAGGTACTCTTATAAAGTGCATTTTTCTTACTTCGGATCCAAGATTATTATTGCAAAGATTCAAAAGAATTCTTGCAAAGTGCATCAGCTAATGCTTTCCTGCTTCGGATCCAAGATCATTATCATTGAGATTTAAAGTTATTAAGGAGGTTTTCTTGCATAGTGCCTTTGTTAGTTCGTTTAAATCTTTCAATCCACATTTATTGTGAGAAAGATTCCAAGTTGAAGCACTTTTTTGATCTACAGGACTATGGTTGCTGTTTTTGAGTATTTCCTCAAAAAGTTCTATTGCTCT